GCAAGAAATTCATCCATGTGTTCCACTCATTATTTACGGCATTATTTTTAACTGGAGTATTTTTCAAACCTAAGTAATGAACAAAACATCATTTATTAATGCTATTTCATTTCTACTACCAGCATAACAATGGCACATTTATCATGTTTAAAAATCCTTATATATGTAATAAGAAATATTTCTGAGCTTTCCTATTAGCTTCTTACTGAACATTATACATTGTCTTTAGTAACTATTGAAGCTACATTTTAATCACAAGTGACATACATTACCCCTACATTTCCCTATTCCTCGAGAAGATCATTGGGTATCTTACACACTGATTCTTTTACAATCAAAATTGAATACAGAAATCTTGTGAGGTATATTTGAGATGATATTAAACATGCAAGCTGATCTCTAAAGAAACACATTACATAGTTCAAACTCCAGCAAGTCATGATAGCACACATGTGTATTCCCAGCACTCATGAAGCTGAGGCAGGAGAATCAGGAGGTCAAGGCTAGTTTAGCTATATAGCAAGAATGTCTCTCAAAAGAAATCTGTTCTTTTTTAGAAATGGAATATATTTTTTAATTTATTCAAAACCTTATTTACATTCCCCAAAATATATTTCTTTTTTATTTTTGTGCAACTCATATTTTTCAGATTATATAATTAATTTTCATTGTATTTTAAGATAATTATTGCAAGTATGAAAAAACTACTGATTTTTTTGTATATCTGTATATTGAACCATATCATCAAATTGCAAATTTTTGTTTAGTCTTAATTGGAAAATTATAATTATAATATTAATGATAATACTTTTTATTTTCTAAATAGTTATTCCTAATACTTTTATTTTATACAGTATCAGATTTACTAAAATAGCCAAAGTAAAATTTAATATTGTGAGTTACAACAGGAATTGTCATATTTTTTAATGTAATGCAAATGCTTCTCACACACTTGGGAAAGTATAAGGCCAAGGCACCTGGAGTTTAATTGCAAAAATCAATTCTTGTTTTAAAATGTCAACAATATGTTTTTCTATTTCTAGGGTGCTACTCATATTGCCATTGAAATTCTTATTAACTATTTTGAGCAGATTGTTTTTTTTCCTTGGGCATAATAATGTAACATATTTTTACATTTATGGAAGAAAAAAGTACTTGCTTGTGGTGAGGTTTTCTTTTGACAAATAGCGAATTACATGTGCTAGGGTTTTATCTGGAGGTTTCACATTTATCTTCATGGCATTAGATGGTAATTTTTGTAAATTATTGTATTAAGGTCTTGTTATTGTACTAAAATAATTTGACATATTTTCCTTCATTGCCTCTGTTCTGGAAGAAAAGTACATAACATAGGAATGAAACACTCTTGGAAAATTTGGAAGGATTAAGAACAAAATCACTTGGCACTGGTGGTTTTCTAACCTTTTGAGTTTTTGATAATAGAATTTAATTACTCTATAATCAAACTTCCTGGTATTACTGATATATTTTCTCTGAGATTTCACATAGGCATTTTTCTAGAAAATTATGCATGTTACCAAAGTTTCAAGTTTATTAACAATGAATTAGGAAAGTGTTCCCATAACTATGTCAATCACTACCTATTGTTAGTTGCTTTATTTTCTCCATTAGATTTGACAGGAATGTATATCAAGCATTAGTTTTTAGATCTATCAATATTATTGTTTATATTCTATGTTTTTTAAAAAATCTCTAGTACTTCTTCCTCCTACTTGGCTTAGGTTTACTTGGCATCACATATTCAATTGTTGTCTTTCATTGTTTTCTTATTTACTATTGCTCATATTAGCAAAGCAATTAAAGATATCAATGATTAATATCTATCAAATGGCTACATGATATTAATTGTGCTAAGAAATTTTCTTATATTAGCATTATCCTTTACAACACTCCATCTATCAAATAAAAAAAATGATTTCAGAAATCAATGATTCCTGGCTAATAAATGACAGAAGTGGTTTTTGAAACCCAAACTGTGTAACTGCAAAACCAAAGTTAATTATGGAATTGTATCAAAATCGAAAGATTAAAAATAATATAAAGAACATAAAGAGAGACAGCTTTAAAAAAATGTAGATCAGAGAATGACACCCAAGTGCAATTTCGACAAATACACGTGGCTGATGTGAATTTCAGGGGAAGAGTAGGCGATTATGCGGGTCCTCATCAGGCGACCTCGGGACCGGCCGAGCCCTGCACACATACCGACCTCCAGACCGCAAGTCTATGTCCAGAATTTTCACCTCTTCGTGTTTTCTGGTCCGGCACAGACAGGAGCTTCCAGAGCGAATGGTCTTCGGAAGAACGCTGTAGGGTTTGGGTGACCCTTATGGATCAGTGACATTTCCTTCCCCTCGCAGCCCTTCTTTCCCAAGCAGCGAATTGTTTTATTTTCTCAGGGAAGGGGCAACAGGCTCTCTTCATGACTTTGGTTAAGAAGCCTAGAGCCTTTCAGTAAAGAGCTCCCCGCGTGGTCATCCCAGGTCCACGGGCAGGGCCTGGGAATGCGGGGAACGCTGGTCGCCTGGTGATCAGCAGGCGGGACCGAGGATGCGTCCTGTGCCCAGAACTGCCTGCCATAGACTCCAAAAGCATCGTTGTGCCTCTCGCTCCTGGGGGAGGCATCCAAGACGAGCAGCTCTGTGGGAAGGCGAATTTTAGAGCGCGCTTCGGTGGCGCGGGTCAGAACATTTACCAAGGGTGCTGTGACTCCGCAGTGGCTGTGAAGCCGCACGCTGTGTACCATGCCCCAAGGACTGCGCCAAAACAAGTCCACAGGTGATGCTCCACCGCCAACAGGACGACGGCTTGTGTGGACAGCCACGGAGGAAACCCAGGGTCCCTCGCCGTGGTCACCTGGCGGCAAGGTGAGCTTGACTGCAATGCGGGGAAAGCTGCTGTGGGCTGAAGAGTCTTCCCGTGCCTTCATCGCCGAGCTTGACAGCGCACTCTCGGCACTGTTATCTACTGCCGGCACCTCAGACGGCTCGGCACAGAACACGGGAGAGTGAACGTTCCCCAACCCTGGAATGCTGGATATGCGCGGATGCGATCTCACAATGTGAAGGACTGAAATCCCTGAGGAGATAACCACTGCTCTTCTGAATGAGGACGCTGAGTCTCAGCGCAGTGCCTCCCACACGGTCGGTTGCACAGCGAGGATTTCAAGCCCGGGCAGCCTTCCTCCTTCTGAGCCGCTCAGACCTGAGCTAAACCAAAACGCCGTCGCTTTGCCACCGCCCCCAGGTTACCGCCCGAGGGCGTGGAGAATCCCGTGCCCTCTCCCTCCTGCCATTGTATGTGACCCTGTGAGCGCCAGCAGCTCACGCCTACCTGCACCGTGGCCGTGGAACCAGCAGCCCTGGAATCTTCTCGGAGCGCTGTGGTTGCCTGTGATCCAGGCAGTGGCCCTCGCCCTGACCAAATAAATCGGAGCTCCCAGATGTGAGGCCCACCTACCAGGATTTGTCAAACGTTCCTGAGCCGGTTCTAAGGAACAGCCAGGAGCTGGAGACGCGCAGGATTTCCGTAAGCCAGCGATTCTCACCCGCCCCAGCTCGCCTCGGAAGAAAGCTTAGCGTGCAAATCCTCGGGCCGCACGCCGGGTATTTTGCTTCAGTGAGATTAGCGCGTGGTCTGTGAGTTTGCGTTTTAATAAGAGCCCCAGGTGATTCCCATAAAGTGTTGCTCAACCCCCACTAATTTCCACGCCCACTGTAGGAAACATCAGCTGTTGCATCCACTTCTTTCTCAGAATGCCTGCCCACCTGCCTTCCAAGCCTCTCCACACTGTCATCGACACCTGAAAAGCACCAAGTCTAAAATACAATGAACCCCTGTCTCCCTGCAAGCCAACTGCCTGTCCATGCGCACGCCCCGTTAGTAGGATCAGTGTCTCTTTGTGTCTCAAGGCAGCTTTGTTTTGCTGTCATTGTTGCAGCACTGGGGCTTGAACCCACAGCCTGCGTGTCCAGCCGAGTGCCCCAGGGTCCAGACAGGAACCTTTGCTCGCCCCCTTTCTCAGTTTGTCCAGTACAACCCGACCCTTTGAGTCTATAGGAAACACTCCCCCAAACCCCTTCCCCCTCCCAACACTCGGACTTTTGCTTAATCACTACTGCTTCACACATGTTTTCTCTGCCGTAAGTCTCCACAGCCCTGCCAGAATAAAACTCTTATTAATAAAGTGCACAAGCACACAATAAGCATTCGGTTCAGTGTCCAACGCTTCCCAGGTAAGACACCTGGTTAACTCGCCTTCTCCTCACTCAGCAGTGGGGACAGGTACTGTCATTTCCCCTGCTTTCCAGTGGAAAGAGATGTCAAGGACCAAGCTGTGTTCACTGAGCAGAGCCAGGGTCTGGGTCTAGCATGCGTGCTCTCAACTGTGCCCCTGTGCACATGCCTGGAGCCAGCTTCGGGGGTTCAGAGCCGGCAGTTGTTCATGGGCTACGCAGTGAGTGATGGTAGTGCAGCGGGCAGGCTAGTCAGGGCCTCTCGGCTCCCAGCCTCTCCCACCTGATTGCCCTGCTACCCTTCCGTCCACCTCTGCACAGGAAACATTTACTCGTGCTTGCTGTTTCTTTCACTTTTTTTCCTCAAAACTTGGGATTGAGCCCACAGCCTTCACACTGAGCTGTATTCCCAGCTCTTTTATCATTTTTAATTTTGAGACAGGGTCTTGCTAAGTCTCTAAATTGCCCACGCTTAGCGAAAACTTGGAATCCTCCTGCCTCAGTCTCTCAGTGCTGGGATTAAAGGCATGTGCCACCTGACTCAGTCAAATTTTAAAATAAATGCAAGCCAGGCACAGTGGCCCACACCGATGTCCCAGCTACACAGGAGGATCAGTTGAGCCCAGGAGTTGGAGGCCAACTTGAGCAATAGGATGAGACCTAGCTCTAAAGGAGAAAAAGAAAGAAAGGAATAAACATAAGTTTAAACATTTTAATTCTGTACAGTTTTCCAGATGCGTTCACTATAAGGCTGCCCATTTTTTTTGTATCATCACTCTTTGAACTTAAGACAAGTGTTCCCTGATATTCGTGCTAGTAGCCTCAGTTCCAGGATAGGCTGAGAGACTTTCCTAGCACTGCTGAGACAAATTACCAGACACGTGGAGGCTTGGGACACAGAAACTTCCTCTCACAGAGCGGAAACAGGAAGTGGGAAAGGAAAGTGTCAGCAAGGCGGCCCTCCCAACAAAGCCTGGGGAAGACCCGCCTGTGCCTTTTCCAGCTCCCGGTGACTCCTGGTACCCTTGGCTTGTGGCAGCACCACTCCAGCCTCTGCCTTGGTCACCTTCTGTAGGTTCCTCCCTGTTTCCTCTTCTTAGAAGACGCTGGGCGTTAAGTGTAGGGTCCACTGTAAATCAAGGAAGACGAAGATGTCATCTCAAAGTCCCAAATGAATTCTGTCTGCAAATACCCTCTTTCCAAATAAGGGCACATCCCGGGGTTCTAAGAGGGCCTCAGTTATTTTGCAGGATAGGGGCACTGCTCAGCCTACTAAAATGTCTAATAAAGATTACTCAACACATGTTTATTGATTATTTGGAGGGTGGAATGAATGAATAGCAGGGTGAATAAAGGACTTATATCCAGAATATATGAAGAATTATTTCACTCCATAACAAGATAAGCAATTCAATTTTTTAAATGGACCAAAGAGCTCAACAAACATTTGAAGATGGTAAATAAGATATAAAAAATGTTGCATCACTAGGAAAATAGAAAATAAAAGCATAAGGACATCCCACAACATACATAGAAGAATGGATACCATTAAAGAGACAGATAACATGCAGGGCTGATGGTAAAGTGGAGGAACTGGAACTCATACAAAACACAACTCATTCCAAAACACTTTGGAAAATGTTTGGCAGCTTCTAGAAAAGTAAAGTATAAACCAGATAACTTAGTAATCCCACTTCTGGGTGTTGATTCAAAATGTGAAGACACGGAGACCTATACACACAGAGACCTGTAACAAGTGTTCACAGCAGACTGATTCATAGCAATGCAGAGCTGGAAACAACTCTGACGTTCACCAAATAGTGATAAATAAATGATAACACGCCAGAGAATGGGGTTCTACTCTGCAAGAAAAGTGGACAAACTTCCAATACACCCACATGGATAGCTCTAACAGGCAGGTAAAATGTGAAAGAAACCAGGAAGAAAACACTACAACTGAATAGTTTCATTATTGTGATATTATGTAAAAGGCAAAACTGTAGAGGGAGAAATCAGCTGGGGTTACCAGGGGCTGTGTGGGAAGGGAGCGAAGGGCTTGCAAGGGGTACAAGCCGGTTTGGGTGGTAGAATCAGTGCGGCTACATCTTGGTGCAGATGATGGTTAGGTGATCGTGTGTCGTTCCCAAACTTGTTCAATTACGCATCTAAATGGTGGAAATTTTACTGTGTAAATTATAACTCAGTGAATCCGACTCCAAAAAATATGAAGACGTACACAAGTGGCAAGACAAAGTAGTAGCTCAGTGTCGGATTCAAACTACCAAGCCTTTCTTCACGAGTAAAAGTGGAACGATAGGGCCAGTTTCATATCCATAGAAGGGAAGACAGAACGAGAAAACACATGTAAATTGTGCGGCGTTTGGCACGTAGTAGGTGGTTGTTAGAAGTAGTCGTTATTGCATAGACACAAGTATAATTTATGAGCTATACAACCCTGGAGGAAAGAAATGGAAATAAAGATTTTACAAGAGTAAGAGCTTGCAGCCTGGCTCTTTCGCAGTATCGGGGTTGTAGTCTTTGCCTTCACAATTTCTTGGTCCACAGAGTAGCGAGTCCCTTCGCAGCACCACACTAACTCCTGAAATCCATCTCCCACCAGCTCTGTGGTTGAAACATGGCTGCCTCTGAGGCAGTCTCCCGACCTTGGGGACATCTTGCTGGCCACCTCCTCTCTTCCAGCTGAATCCCCTGCTGTGCTTCAATTAAGCCTGCAGACCAGACCAGAGGCTCCTGGACAGAGTGCCCTGCCCACATCTCCTGTGGGCACAGGACACGGTGCACATGAGCACTGTAGAGCAATGAGCAGTGGGGCTCAGAGCTTTCTGGTTCACCCTGTGCTGCAGCCGAAAGGCAGTGCTGCTGGAGCTCGCACAGCGTCCGAATTGAGCTAGCCCTTTCATCCCATCAGGTCAATGATGCCATGTTCTAAATGGGACTCATTAAACACATTCATAAAAGCAATTAAGATACTTCAGTAATACCACAGAGCATTTACACAACTCACTAAACAATACCATTGTACTGACTACCACCCTTCGAGCGCCACTCTGATGTAACACAGGTGTCTGCGGCTCACTGATGAAGGAAATGGGACAAACGGCACCGAACTTTGGCGATGTGTAACTATGCTCTGAGCATCATAGACTATGTTAAATGTGAGATTTACAAGATGTATGAGCCAATCTCAATACGTAACTTTATATCTTCTAGCGTCCTTAGAGGGTTTGAAGAGGGACAGATAAAAAGAGTGATACTTGTGGTGGTGGCGTCATCTATCTGTAAGAAAACCAGAAGGGAACTGCAGTGGATGGAAAAAGCTGTTTTCCAAAAACATACTTCATTTCAAGTACACGTATGCCAGTGTTTCCATAAATTCACTGCCTCCCCCTGTATACACAGGCCAACATATCTCCCCTCTGTGTCTCCGTGGCATTTTGGAAATGTGTGGAAGATGTCCCCTTACTGTAAGTGACCCAGTGGCCTGGCTCCTCCTGTGGGTCTTGTGAGATGATGTGAGAAGAAGGGTGATCTAGCGGGGAAGCTGGGTCAGACCCTGACCCAACAACCCATCTGCACTAACTGCATTTGGACCCCTCCATCCTACTAGATCGTCCACAGTTACCAGGAGAATCAACTGTAGCGCGTAAGCATTTGGTAAATGGTGACTACAGAGGACACAGTGGAAGTACTGGGTCTTGGCCAGGCCATTTGGTCTTGAAGTGACTCTGTGCCCCTCTCTGCTTCCTATGGGAAGCTCACAGACAGCTCCAGCAACTGCAAGTGCCTAGGCCCCCAGCATACACATTTCTGGGTGCAGAAATAGAGGACATTTATTTACGTCTGGCGTTATTTGTTACTGCTTTCATTGGCCTTGTTTTCCTTCTTTTCAACTCTCTCAGGTATCTACTTTTACTTTGTCTCTGTATGTGTGTGTGTGCTCCTTGGATCTGTGTAACATACTGAGTATAAATAAATTAACCAAAGAATTAACTTTCAAAATTCCTCTCTCTCATAAATGAAATAATTTACTTACATGTGTCATAGCTGTTCTGTGTTGTCTCCACTGTGGACTGTGACCAGGAGCTCCAAAACTCTTTAGGGTCCTGTCGTGTTACTATTGGAGTTCTGGTCCCTCTCCCAGCTCCTACATCATAGAAGCTACTGAGTGGAAGATTAACAGTTGTTTAAATAACTTTAAGAGAGAAGCGTATTTCTCATTGTATACGTATTCTTCTGCTCTGACCAGTCAGGAACCTGCTCCACTTTTAGAAAAGGAAAAGAAAAGAAAAAAAATTCACCAGTTTTGTCTAAAAATGATGAAATTGTGTACTCTGTGTATGCAGGTTAACTCAGGATGAAGTAAACTAGACTTTCATAGGGTCCCACAGAAAATGGAGCCAGAATATAACTCCATACCCTGAGCTGCAATGGTCTTTTCCTAAGACATTTCAGTATCTTCACTCTAAGTGTAAGAATAGGGCAATAAATAATCACACCTTAAAAATAAAAGTAAAATCATTTTTTCAATCAGCCTCAGGGAGTGAAGAATGGATAAAACTAGAGAAGTTCCAATGGAAGAGCTTGGAAATTTTGTCATTTCATAGCGGTTCAAAATGCACCTAATCCTTTTTAATAGACTCTAAATAGCTGTCATTTGTCTCGGGAAAAGATAATAGATTAATGGTGTAAGCAGCATCCAGATTTATATATACATTAATGTCCTAATTTATAAAAACCAATTTATGTGCTGGGGGTGTGATGCATTCTTAATTCATTCCCATGATCTCGTTTACCTTATTAGGGTTTGTTATTATTTGTTAAAGTAATGAATTTCCCTTTTGTGCCATGCCGTGCTCGACCCTCTCGAAGGGTCACAGGCAGCTCTCTGGTCCTGGGGACACAGCAGCCCATGAGGTGGCCATGCTGAGTGCTGGATCAGTGCTGGAAGCACGGGATTTCTGCTCAGAGTTCTGTGCACCCGATGTGAGGACCAGAACAATAGTACTGGATCTGGACTCAGTCTAACTCACCTGACTTCCAAAGAGAACAAACAGTCTTCCAAAGAGAAAGGAAACTTGAAGTTTTCTAATCTCAGGGTTTGTGTGTCCCCTCCCACCCTTCCCCTCCCCCTTCCCCTCCCCTTCCTCCTCCTCCTCCTCCTTTCTGGAAAATAAGCTTATGTCCTCACCCAAGTCCATTCCAATCTTCCTGGGTTGGTTGCTGGTTTTAACGGAACACCTGTGTCAGTGCTGTTACTCTGAAAATAAGGAAGTGGGGCAGAGCATTCATCTGATATTAGTGAATACAGACAGAAATAATCTCAGCACAGGGGAATAATGAAGCAGCCTTTTGATAACTATCAAAAAGCATCAATGTATCTTAAATATTCATGAAGCCAAGTTAAATGGTACAATTTGCTTAAATTAGCACCCAGTGGAGAATGTTTGGGCATTACGGTAACTGAAATTTCCAGACTACCTGAGAAAGAAGTTAGCTTCCATGAGCCTAGGATATGACATTTGTCAAAGTGTGTCAAGGAGCAATTAAGAAATAGCCAGCCCTGCTTGCCTCTGATCCTCTCTAGGCTGGTAATGGTGGGTAACTTTCTCGGTATGTTCCTAGCTTCTCTTTGGATCTCTCTGTATATTCAGCGATCCTGAAATTACACCCTCACTTTTTTTCTCAGATGCCATCTGTAATGTAATTGTCCCAAATCAGTACCATAAACTCCACCATCCCTGGGACCTGCAGCTCACTGCCGTCGTTCCATCTGTCATTCATCCATCTGTCTGTCCAATCATTTACTCCACAGATATTCACCCCAGCTGAGAACCAGGCACTGCTTGTGTGGAATGTGTAGTAGGGAGTCGGCTCCAAGTCCTTGCCTCTGCTCTGCTCCACCCTTCCCCTCCCCACAGGATCTGACCCCTTCCCTGCCCCTTTGCAGCCCATACTCCATTCACACGAGCTTCTTGCAGTTTCTTAAGTATGCCCTGTATTTCGACCTTCTGTCTTTCATCTGTCTCTTAGGATGACCTTTTCCTTTTCCCCCTGCATTATAAATTCCTGATCATACTTAACGACCAAAGGTAGATGTCACCCTCTCTGAGAAGCATCCCTGGGCTTTTCCAGAGACAAAAGAGCTCTTCAGAGTTACCGATAGGGTTTTTAATCCTCTGATAGACATCCTTCAATGAGTAAACTTCTCCAATAGCTCCAGCAAAGCCAAAAGCTAAGTGACAGATGATTGATGGTCTTTTATCTATTTATTTAATCTGTTTTTAAATTCCCGGCACCTCATACAATGACCACCAAACATTAAATCTATGCCAATAAATTCTTTTCTAGTCCCACTTCCCAGATACGAAAAAATAGCTGGGTCAATGGGAATTCGTAATTCTGATGCCAGAGACAAGATAAATGAATCTGAATTGAAGCTTCCTCCAGTCTCTTCTGGGCAGGGGCAGAAGTTTTGCCTTTTGACCATCCCAGCTATTGTTATTATCAGGACTCAGGGAGAAGCTGAGTAAAAGATCTACCTGGAAGAGCTGGAGCAGGTGGGCTTCTCTCCCTCAGGTGCAGCTTGGACAGGTCCTGGGAGGACAGCAGGCTTTCAGGTAACTTACGGGGCAGTTAAGGACTTCAGGATCACCTCTGTAATTACACTTTCAGATGTAAATATGCAGTGACCTCTTGGACCATTATCAGCAGTAGCTGTCTTAATCTCAACCTGCCATTTCTTGAAACCCTTAACAACGCTGCTGTCCTCTGGTGCGGAATAATGTGTCCAGGGCCACCCGGTGTGTCTCAGGGAACCTAGAGCACAGGTCCTCTCCTACCCAGGTCCCTCTCTTTGCCCACCCCACCCCAGCCCCTTCCCCCCCACCCAGGGGAAAGAGCGACTGGCAACATTCTGTGCTCTTCACCAGCGGCTGGGCTGCTTCCATCCCAGCCAGGCTTCGCCTTGGTGCCAGTGGAATCCCACAAGCACCTCTTGCTTCCTCACTCAGACGCCAGTGCCAGGGACTCTGAGGCAGAGTGAGGCATGGGAAGAGGCTCTCCTGGGGCATCTGTAGTCTTTCTGGCTGCTTTTCATCCTTGGGTTCATTCTTTGTTCAAAAGATATGGCATGGAGCTGCGTGGTATACAAGCACTCCTGCTGTTGGACTGTGTAGAAAGAGGGAGATATTCTGTCAGCATTTGAGGCTTCCTTTTAAAATGTGACCAGACATTCAGATACACATGTGGACTCTGCCTTCCATCAGCCACCTGCACACTGTATATTCATCTGCCTACACACGGGACAGGCACTGTTTGTGGAGATAGGATTACACATTATAGGCACAATTCTGGTGAAAGGAAATCTTTGTTTTCAGAACAGTCCTGGAGGTAAAAAGAAACAAGCACTTTGAAAACAAATGTGACTGGAGAGCAGGACACCCAAGGAATGAATCTTATTTCTGGATGCATTGTACAAAGCCAACCAAATTTCTGACGATTGTTTTGCAAGTATTGGTACAAATGTCATTATAAAATATCCTACAAATAGTTATTTCTTAAATGTTTCTTTTGCTGCATTGATGCTGTTTTCTTATTAAAAAAAACACTTTCAGTTGATTATGAGTGAGTCATATTTCCATGCTGGCTTATTTTTAAAATCAAATTCCAATGTAGTCGGGACTATTTTTGCAGATGAATATATTAGATGTCATTCTAGGATGTTTTTGTCAAACTCATCAGTACCATGCTCTATACCTATCGTGCTTAATGTTGAAATACATGGATAAAGCATGTTTATTAACATAGATTTTATATTTTCTTATATAATAAAAGAAACATATGCCTCCCTTTGGTCAGTGATCATCCCTGTAATGTCTCGGGAAGCAACAAATCTATCTAATTGTCATTGTCGTAGTCACTTTCTCGTTGCTGGGACACAGAACCGCTCACCCACAACTCACAGGAGTGGGCTCAGCCGAGGCGGCGAGGGTCTGACGGGCAGAGAGGTTCACCTCAGGGCGCAGGAAGCAGGGAGAGAAAGGAGCAGCGAGGCCACCCCTCCGTGACCGCCTCTTTGGACGAGACCCTGACTCCTAACTGCAGGTCGGCTATGAACACTGATAATTCAGTCACCTTCCACAAGCCCCTCCTCTGAGCCCGAGGAACCTGGGGACATCTGCCTCTCAGCCACAGCAGAGCGACTTTAGGCCATGTTAGGTCCACTTTGCATTCCCACCTCCAGAACATGGAGGCGGAAGCATGAAACTTCCATTTGCTCTGACCACTAAGATGACTTCCTTTTCTTCTATTTTAATCCCACATGGAAAACTGGAAAATCGTGGTCATAACACACTCAGCCTCCTTTACTCCAGCTTTGCAGCACTCACCGTCTCTTATTATTGGTAGAGAATAATTGTCTTCTGAGACAGTCTGCAAGCTCCACAGAAGAGGAGACGTTACCTGCTTTTCCTCCCTTTGTGTTTCCAGTCCTGGAACAATGATGCTGAACAGTCACTGAGCTCAGCGAGACCTCTGCTATCCAACGGCTCCCAACTCCAACTTCCCACAACTTGAACAGCAAAGTTCAAATTCTGCTTGGTATTCCTTACTTTGCTCGATAGTTGAACCGGAAATCTGACTTGAAAAAACCTGTGTGGGCCAAGAGTGAGTCATGCACACATCACATCTCACAGGATACAAAGGGCGATGCTTCAGTCTAAGCTCTGCTCTCACCCGGACAATGGACAGTGCTTGTGTCAGTGCGTTAAAGCATTGGTCATTGTGAGGGTTTTTGCTTTTTTGTTTTGTTTTGTTTGCGCTATATTTGTGTAAAATATCATAGTCACAGCTCCAAGGAAAGTTAGTGACACCAGCAGTAAAGCTAAGAGGAAAACTGTGAGAACCAGGATAGAGTTGAAGAAATATTGTGAGATTTGTTGAAGTCCTGGAAAAATAAATTTACAAGTGTAATTTCAGGGACTCAGAACCAATTATTTGGTTTTCCATTATTTCCTATGGGAAATGTAGATTCAGGTCTCGAACTTTTTGAGGTACAGGCATGAATTTGGAATGAACTGAATTTGACAACCAAGGTATCACTGTATTCAAAAAATAAATACACTGGAAAGAAACTGACTACGTTGTCTAGCTGTTTGAGCACTAGTTTATATATCGTTATTGACTAAGATGCTATTAATTCAGTAGTTTTGGAATTAAACCTTAAGTTGCTCACAAAGATAGATGTGATAGAGAAGATATAAACTGGAAGGGAACAACACAGTTGAGATGAGAAATAGAGAGATGGAACAGGGACAGAGAGAGACTGAATGCACTGACCCCATGGCCAGTGTGGCTGAAGCAATCCTTCTGCCAAGCAGAGAAACATCATTGAGTACACCACGCCTCCGTAACATCCCACTATTAAAGGAAGAGAAAAGACTCTGGTTTCTCTTCAGATTGTCCACATCCTTCACTTTATACTAAAGGAAAAAGAAAAGAAAGAAGTACAATTCAGCAGATGAGGTGAGATACCCCAGGTCCACACACGAGCTCGGCCTCACAACCTCTCCACCTCGACACCCCATTCCGGGGCACCTAGAGCCAGGGTGCCCTGACACAGGGGTCCCTGGGCCAAACAAACCCTTGTCACTGTGACGTTTGCCTTAAATGCTTAGTCCGGGGAAAACACCTTTTCCACAAGGAAATCTGGTCAGAACGTGCAACCAGACCGAACAAGTTTGCATTGTACTCCTCCATCTCCAAACCCAAGCCAGAAAAAGTGTGACCCTCTGCCTAGGAGAAGAGAGGGAGCACAGCAAAAGGGACAGGAGTGTCCCCCGGTAGGCTGGGTGACAAAACAGTGAAAAGGCCTCAAGGCCCATGTGGCCGCTACGATTCTGTGCTGAAATGCAGCCGGCCCAGCAGAAGTCAGGCCGTACCCAGGGGCACGCTCAGGAGAGGTGGGAGACAACGGCCCCAAGCCCATTGCCATCTCCACCCCACACGTCTCCAGGAGCCCAGGACACACAAGCATATCCCCCAAATGATTAATGTCCCCGAAAAGTTACATAGGAGCTGAGAAAGGGGACTCATTAGAGATGGATGGCATGGTGGGCCAAGTCTGAGGGTTCGACAAGGAAACCTCTGCCTCTATTAGCGTGTGTTCTAACTCCATGCCACAAAGGAGCTGCTGGGCACGACAGGTACAAGTGTAACTAAACAATCTTTCCAGTGTCATGAATACTTGAGAAGAGATAAATACAAGTTTAATGCATTTTCTATCTAAATTGAAGACAGCTAAAATAAAGGAGGAAGCACAATATATTGTAGACACAGATGCAACCAATAATTTCTTTGAAAATGGAGTTTAAAATCATCATTAATATTTCATATCAAAAGAAAATATTATATTACCATTTAAATTTAGCTGTTGTGAACAACAGGGTCACCGGGAGAGGAAATAAGATTGTTGACCCACTGCATTTTAAATTTCTGAACACAGAGTCATTCATTACTTTACGGAAAATATCTGTTCAGGAGCTGGGTCAATGATGGAGGAGAGAAGGATAATCAGATAAAACTCAAACTTCCTGATCCATAGAGAAGATATAAATGTGGTTTTGATGTAATAGTTACTATCACCTTCATTATGTTTTTACTCGTGAGGTAGTCATTATGAACACGGTCTCTGGATTCAAACCCCAGTCAACCCACTTACTGATTGTGATTCTACAGCAAGTTGCTTCATTGCTCCCTCTCCCCATGGCTAAAAGGATATCTCAGTACACAGCACTCAGAGATTCAGGTAATGCAATGGAGTATAGCATAAGGAAGCACTTGGGACGGGGTCCAGCACATAGCTGACACTGCTAAGATGTCTAAATTTACAATACAGTATCACTGCTGGTAATTTTGCCATTGCTAAACTCTGTATGGTATATTACAATTAAAAGGTCGCACCTATGTACACGTACCATTTTTCATCTTCATAACAGCACCTAGGTGGTGTTGATCACCGTTGTTAACAAACAATACTCAGTTCTGATGAGATCAAGTGGCCTCAGGAATAAACAGGGGATTTGAAGCCGGGATTCTGGATCCAAGTTTGGGGCTTTTGTCATGACATTTGCACCCTGGACCATGCGCATGGAGGATCCTCTTTCAAAGAGACAAAGCTGATATCACTTCGCCCAGGGACACTGGGTATTGAGGGCTCTGCATTCCACCAAGGGTGCTGGGGCCAGAAGTGGACAAAGGCAGGGTGCCCAGGAGGAAGCTACGGGTGCCCGGTCACCAGGAAGAGCCCAGCTGGACAGCTGACCCATCTGGGCAGCAGAGCCACCTCCAGATGGCACGGCACAGGGGACAGGGCGCTGTGCACCAAGCCATCCTGCCTCTGCTGATGGAAGGCTGAACAGAGACCCTAGAGCCCTGGAAAGCCCTCTCCGATCACTCTCGTGATGCTGGCTGAAATTCGTGATGACTGTGTTTCAGCTGATCTCTGGAAGTTAGGGGCCGCCTGGTGTATTTACTTCAGCAATGGAGGAGAATGTTTGAAACGGGGGCTTTCCAGAAACTGAGATGAGCGGCTGCAGGAGGGACTTTGAGCCACTGTGCTGTGGGGAATTCAGAGCACCGCATCTCTGCTGACCTCTCCCCGCTCTGGGGCAGTGTAACCTGAATGACTGCAAATCCAAAGGAAGACATCCCAGAGGTGCAAGTCCCAAGCTCTCCATCACTCCCTTCCTCTGTCTCTCTGTCAGTCTCCCTGACTCTGTCTTGTTTCACGAAGACTTAAATTAGCAA